TTGACGTCCATTCAGCGGATCTTTGCCTGGTTAATTTTAGGCATCCCAGTCTATCGAATCACTCATTGCCTCAAGAAATCACTGCCTCCAACAAAAGACGACTCATTGATTTTTCCTCAGTGATGTTTAAGGCGAATGACACAGCTGATTTGGTGGTTCCGCCATCTGTGCGACGGTGTATAGTGCAAAATGTCTCATACAATGATGGTTTGACCATCTGGACAAGATAATTAAGTTTCGTGAAATGAATACGACGACTTATTGCAAATCATCAATCGAATCTTGCATCGAACTGTGAACGTATGATTGCTCTAGCTTAACGCTGATTGCCGTTTTTCAGTTATGAAAGTCTTCTTTGAAAAAATAACCTCAAAAAATGATTCATGACCTACGTTAGCATAGTGATTTATAAGTTAGTTATGCAAATTATGCCCATTTCACATGTAATTCACATGTATTCACATGTAATAAAGAATTTTCCATTAGTATTTTTGCAGGACCGAAATTCAATGGAATTTGTTTAGTGCTTCTTCGAACAGATTCTGTTTTACTGCTTAATCAGACGTTACGAATGATCTACTATTTATGCGTTGCAAGACTTACGGTGAGTTCGCTTATTTGTCTTTTTCCTTATTTCCAGTCATACCCGTTGAGTTATTCATCCATGTACGTCTAGCCGCAAGGTAGTTGCTCCTTATTTGCGACTCTAATACACCAGTTGAATATTTTACGCAGGTAGAAGGCCCCTCATCACGGTAGTCTTCAAATTTCGTACCCCGCATAGCCATTTGACATTGCTCTCCACTTTCTTCTCCAAAACAGCGCTGAGCCTGGTGAAAACGAAGATCTCATTCTAGAGGGAATTTGCAGTTTCAGATATCTGGCTAGATGGCCGGGATACACAGGTTACACTGTATTTGTGAGCAGATCCGGTAGCAGGCTTTGTCATTTGAAGTGCTTACGGGCGCAACACAGTCGTGACAGCTGACCTCGTCCTTAGCGCCAGCAAATTCAACTTGTCTAGTACTCATTTAGCACTGCTGTTCTACAAGTGGAGCAGGTGGGTAAAGTACTTTAGGAAGTAGACGAATGTCCATCATATCGAGTTAGAGTTAAAGAGGAAGAACAACACCTTAGCCTTGACTGCTTCTAATCACCTCTCCAGTGTTTCAGCTGAAGAATGAGTTAGCTCTTTCAATCAAATCAGCCTGCAACTCGCTTGAGTCAAATAAGTGTTTCTACGGCATGAAGACAATCATATTAACCTTAGAACTCAATGCGATGATTGGACTGCAAACAGCAACGCTGCTTTAGATGCACACTGAGGGCGAAATGATGGATTACGTAAGGAACAATTGGATCCTATTTGAGCATGGGTTACTCAGCAGATCACGAAAAGTAAGTTGGACTTGTTAGGCAACTGGCACACCATAAACCATTTACTCCAGCTCGTGGGTTTCTCCTATGAGAGCCCATAAACGGTAGAATCGACCAGGAAGCAGAGGTGGATTTGCTTTCGAAGAGAAATGTCACCTTGTGCAACACACGATTCAGTGCCTTATTTTAAAAGTGTTGAAACGCTGTGATTGCAACGGACATCACGAACCAGAGACCCTCTGCTTATGCATCTGGCTCAAAGTAATGATCTCAACAGACACTCACACACCGTACAAGTGTAGAGTGTTCTCGTCACTTCTAATCGCCTAGCAGGCTCATGTACTTTTGATGGAAAGTGAACATAACCAATTTGAGGTCATCTCGTCCGTATACTTTCTTCATCACCTTTTGGAGAAACGTAAAAGTGGCGGAACAGAGTTTACATTGCTTGTATCGATGATATTTCTCCTCATCAGTGAGAGTTTACCTCATTCTTGCCTTCCTCTTCATTTCGTGTGCTCCAGTCTCTCTCTTCTCGTTTCTCTTAATCTTTTTTCTGCTTTACTTCCTCTGTTTTGCACTGTTCGTCCTTTCTTACCAATTCTTCTTCGATATAAAATGTTTAAATGATTTAGCTAGAAATACATCATCATAGGAACGCGACAAGTGCTGATTTCGTTGCTGCTGTTTGCCTCTTAATAGAGATTCACACGTAGCTGCCCAACAGTCTGTCTTCTGATTGGACAGAAGCATTTTAAATTGGACGGAATAATGGAAGATTGGTAGGAAAATCATACAACAATTGCCATTATGATGTTATGATAGCGGTTAGTTCTTTTTCCTGGTCTGATGGAGTTCTGTTGAAATGAACAGCACCCTCATGAATATTATTCAAGTGACGGAGAGGTGACTTGCACCTGAAGTTTGCGAGGGTTTGTTGCTTGCGAGTCATTTGGTCAGTCGGTCACTCAAGCTGGTCGTCAATGCTCCTGATCCTGTGCCCTTGTTTCAGATTCGGCGCAACAGAACCTGAGTCTGGAGCAGAGGCGTTTCCTTCACTTGCTTCAGGTCATTTCTGCCTGTCTCTTGGGGGGTCTTCGTCCGGTCAGTTGGACAAGTAGTAGCTCATTCGCCTTTACTTCTGAAATCACCCGTAAGACGTGTCTGATCCTTCGCAGCTGTGACTTCTCAACCTGGGCAAGCAGCAGTTGCACACCAAGGCTCTCTCAGGTATGTGTACTGCGGATCATGTCGATATATGTAAGCCCATCTGTTCATATCAAGAAGCCTATTTCTAGTGCTTGCACCTGGGATAGAAGTTGTTCAGTCAAGGCAAGCAACTCATGGCCGTAGTTGAGCATCGGGATAAAGGTCGACTTGAAAACAGAGGGCTTAGTTTTGGAGGAAAAGAACAACCCTAGCGGAGAGTAATGCCGATGTTGTGAGGTCTCGCTTCAACGGCGAGAGACGTGCCATGAAGTGGACACCTGATTAGAATAGGTTCTAGACGTAGAGGTTGAGCATTTCAGAGTCCTGCCGCTTCACTGACGAGAATCCAACGATGTCCGGTCAGTGTCTTTCGTCCTCATAAATCAGTTCCTGCTCTTTCGTCCTGAGTGAGGGGTTGTTCCAATTTTGGACGGCTACTTTCCACCGTCTGTACTGTTTTCGTGAAAGCTAATCCATAATGCCATATTGCTACCTGCCTCATCCGTTCAGAACGGGTGGTGTTTCCATTCTAGGTCTTCTTCTTGCTAATCTTCAGCAACCCTCGTCGTGCTGCAACCCCTCCCCAGTTGTCAAAAGGCGAGTAGCAGGTTCTGATCACCAATTTTTCGCAATCCGCCTCAGTTTCCCAACAGCATCGCGCTGTCTCTGCAATTTTACCAGAATTTCATCAAGGAACGAAAGCCACGTTCGCTTGGACATGTATTGCGGCGACCTCCTAAAGAAATTGCACCTGTGGTCCTGGGTGGCATCAACGGAAGAGTTACCAAAGGCCTGGATGGCTACAGGGAGATGTGACCTTGAAAAAGTCACGGAACCAACACGTCAATGCATGGTATCATTGAAGCCGGTTACACCAGTCACTAACACCTCAGTAACAAACAAATGAAAGGATCCTCAGGATTGCTGCCTATCAGTACAGTAATATTCGTCGTCAAGTGCACTGATTTTGTTAATTTCTTTCTCATGCCATAGAGTAGAGAGCTTGATGCAAACTGTCTTTTCTTTGCAAGATTAACGTAGACTTAGCTCTCACAAATTCATAGCGTCTTGATGAAATAGTAGTATTAATATTTAAAAAAATGCATGATATTTTATCATAGAATTATAACATCTTTCATTTCAAGTTTTGCCACAACGTTTCGATGATTTCTATAGAAGAAATGTGTATTCGTTCGTCATAATACCGTCTGATTCCTCCAAGGCCGGAGGAGTTATGTTTTATTTGATATACTACGGCGTAAAAACATATTTTCACATATTTCGTGATCTGTTAATAATAAAATTTTTCCGTCTAAGCTACTACAGACCAGTACACCAGTCTTAACTGATGATCTGTTGTGCTACACCAGTTTTTTCCCTACATGCTTTGGTAATCAGTTAAGCTCAATATCATTTTATATGCATACATATAGTGTAAAAGTCCGTCGCATCCCTTCTGGAGAGAATGTTTTACAAAAGTATAAAATAAAACCGACTTCTGAAGTGTTACTTGTAGTGAGGACGGTTACTCAAATGAGTAGACATGCACATTTGCATTTCAGATCCTCGAATACCATGTCTAGCCTGATTAAACGCTCCCTTTCGCAGGTAAAATTAGGACGCAATTTCATACACTCATAAGCCTGGTTTTGATGAGTTATTTGGGCATCACAATGTAATATGGCTGCTTTGTTGTTAACCTCTGCTTGGTCGAATCAGACAAAGCCTTCCCAGAGAGTAGGTGTTTTTCGCTTGTGAAATTTTCTGCATACGGTAAGTGAGATGAGACCATTGTTTTCCTTATATTTTATTATTAGATGCATAAATTAGTTTCTGCGACAGTCGCAACGTGTCGAAGACTACTCACAATGTTGCAGACTTCGTTCCAAAGCCAGTAGCCAAATTCGAGAACTTAGGAATGAATCGAAACATTATTTCAATGTTTCAGGGAAGTTACCACTTAGTAGTCATCCAATTCCAGCGGTCATTCTTGCATTGCAAATCTTAATATCGATTTATGGGACGAAAATGTACCTTCAATTACTTTTAACTGTCCTGAGGAACATATAAATAGTTCAAGGCTACATGGCAGTTGAACACAGGCAGCGCATCGGACGTAGT